ATGTGTAGAAGAAAGGAGATGATTTTGTTGGGGTATTGATGTGATGAGATGGGATTAGAGGGGGAAGAGGGGAGGTGGAGGGTTGAAGGTGGGGGGGAGTGGAGGGGGGTGGGTGGGGGGATAGGGGGGATATATTGATTGGGGGATGGGTGGGGGGTTTGAAGGGAAAGGATTTGAATTTGGGAGGGGGTTGGAGAGGTTGTGAGTTAATTGGGTGAGAGGGGGTGGGGGTGGTATGGGATTGGATGGTTTATTTTTGGGGAATGGGAGATATTATGGGGGAGTGTAGGGGAACGGGGTATGGGTGGGAGAGGGGGGGTGTGGGGGTAGTTGGTGGATAGGGTAAGAGGGGTGGTTATGGGGTTAGGGGGGGAATGAGGGGGAGGGGGGGGATTGAGGGGGGGGGGAGAGGGAGGAAGGGGGGGAAAGTGTGGGTTGTATGGGTTATGGAATAGGATGGGGATATGTGGTGAAGGATGGGTGGGGGATGGAGAGGAGGTGGGGGTTGGGATGATGGGGGGGGGGATTTGATGATAGGGGTAGGGGGAAGGGGGAGTGGGGGGGGGGGTATATTAGATATAGGGTTGGGAGGTGGAGGAGGATTGGGGTTGATTAATGATGGTTTATATGGTAGTAAATTAGTAATGGAAAAGAGTGTTGTTAGGTGTGGTGGGGTTGGGGTGTGTGGTAATAGGAGTAGGAGGGAGGGGGGAATGTGTAGGGGGTAATGGGTAATGATGAGAGGGATATTAATGAAGGTTATGAGAGGAAGAGTTGGGGGGGGTGGATAGAGGGGAGAAAAGGGATTTTATGGGTTAATTTTGATGATGGGTTGGGGGGGTGGAATGGGTGGGATTTGGAGAAGAATTATATGGAGGGGGGGTGGAATGTAGGAGGGGGTGGGGGGGGTAGTGGTAGTGGTGGGGTTTATGTTGGGTTTGTGATTGTGAGGGGATGGGTTAGGAATATGGTGGTTTTAGGGGAATGGGAGGGTGATTGTTTTTTTTGTATTTGTTTGATAGGTGGTTTTTATTTATTTGGAGGGAGTAGGAGGAGAATGGTGGGGGGTTTGGGGGTGGATTGGTAGGTATTGGAGGGGGGAAAATTTTTGGTTTGTGGAGAAGAGATGGTATGGGAGGATTCGGAGGGATTGAGATGAAGGGTGGTTGAGGGGGTGATGATGTTGGGAAATGGTAAATTGGAAGGATGGGGGGGGGGGGGTATGGGGGATGTTGTGAGGGGTTGGTAAGATTGTGGGGAGGTGAATGTTGGAATAGATGGTGGGTAGTTGGGGTTTGGGGTTTTGTATGGATGGGTATGTAGTGGTATGTGGGTTTTTAGTGTGTGATTTGGTTGGGGGATTGTTGTGGGGGGGGGGGTTTTTTGTGTGTTTTGGGGGGGGAAGGGGGGGATGGTGGAGATTGGGGGTTAGGGGGGGTAGGGGGGGGGGGAGGGGTTTAGTGGGGGGGGGGGGGGGGGGTTGTGGGGGATGGGGGGTAAGGGTTATGTTATTGAGGGGGGGGGGGGTTTGTTATAGGGGTTGTTGGTGTTGTTAGGGGTTTGTTAAGTTGGGAGTAGATATGTAGAAGGGTTATATGTGTGTAGGGGGGTGTGTGATGTGTGTAATGGGTTAGGGGGATATGGGGAGAAGGGGGGGGATATATGAGTGGGGGGAGTGTATGGATTTTGGGGTATGGTTTGGGAGTAGTTGGGGTTGGTGGTTTGGGATATGAGGTGTGTGTATGGGATAATTGTAATGATGGGGTTATAGGAGGGTGGAGGGAGTAGATGGGGGGGGTGGTTTTGGGGGGTGGGGGGTGGGGGGTTTTGGGAGGGGGGGGGGATAGGGATAGGGTATTTATATGTAAGGAAAGAGAATTGGGTGGAGGGGTTTGGGATATATTGAGAGTGGTATGGGGGATTTGGGAGAATTTATTGGGTTAAAGATGGGGGTTTTTTTGGATATTGGGTAATAGTTTTAGGGGTATGGGGGTGGATGTTTTGGGGAAAAGTTTTATGTGGTAGGGGTTTTGGGGGGGGGGTTGTATTTGGTAATTATTTGGGTTTATATATTGGGTGGGATGGGAGGGGGTAAGGGATTGGGTGTTATGGAGGGTTATATTTTGGGGATGGGAGTATTTGATTATTGGGGGGAGGATTGTTGGGGTGGGTGGGAGATATGGTAGATTTGGTGGGGTGTTTAGGGGGGTGTTTAGGAGGTAGTTGGGAGTGAAATGAATAAGAGAGTGAGGTTAAATAGAGTGAGGTATAATAAGGTTTAATGGGAGTTTTGTGGGTTGGGAGGTAAGGGGATTTAGAGATGGGGAAGATTATAGTATGGGGATTTTTGTTAGTGGGTTTGGGGTGAATTAGTTTGTTTGGGGATGGAGGGTTGGAAGTTTTGAGGAGGATAGGGGGGGGAGAAAGGGGGGTGGAAATGGGGGAGAGGGGGGGGGGTGAGGGTGATTGGGATGGGATGGTAGGGGGTAGAGGGTTGGGGGGGGGGTGGAGGAGGGGGGAGATAGGGGGGAGGAGTGAGAAGGGGGGAGGAGGAAGGAAATATTGAGGGGGTGAATGATGTTTAGTGAGGAGGGTAGGGGGGGTTGGTGTTTGTATAATGGGGATATTTATGAGTTGAGGTGTGTTGGGGTGTGAAGGTGGGGGGGGGGTTATAGGGGTTTGGTGTAATTTTTGTTTGTTTTGTTGGTGGTGGGGAGTGGAATGTTTTATTATTGTTTGGGGGGGGGGGGGTTGGGTGTGTGTGGGTATTTTGTTGTATTTGGGATTTTGGGGATATGGGTGGGTTGTGAGGAGGGAAGGGGTGGGGTGTGATGAAGGGGTTTTTGATGTTTGATGGTGTTTGTTTGAGGGGATGGTTTATTGTATGGTGGTGGTTGTGGGAGTGGGGGTGAATATGTTGTTGGTGGTTGTTATGAGGGTGGATTTGGGTTATAGGATTTTGAGGGATGGGTTTTGGTGTTATTTTATAAAGGGTTGTTTTTATGGGGTGAGATTGGGGATATAGGGGGGGGGTTTTATGGTAGGGGGGTTTGTTGGGTGATTAATTTGGGTTTGGATAGTGTATGGAGGGTTGAGGGGGTTTTTTATGGGATTTTTGGGTTGGGAGTGTATTTGGGGGGTTGGGTTGGGCTTAAGTTGATGTGGAGGGGGGTGGGGGGGTATTGTGGGTTAAGTGGGGTTGGTAAGGTTGTGGGTGGGTGGGTATATTGGTGTGGGGTTGTTTTTGGGGATGAGAGGGAAGGGTTAATAGTATTGTGTGGGGGTATGGGGGGGTAATTTTGGTGGGGTGGGATATTGGAAGGGGGGGGGGGGTGTTATGTATTTAAGGGTGGGGTTTGATATTGGGGAGGTTTGGGGTAGGAGGGGGGGGTATGGGATGTGTTGGTGGGGGAATGGAAAAAGAGGATAAAGTGAAATGAAGGGTGAAGTGGATGCTGATATTTTGAGGTGGGAGGGATGGGAGATTGGGGGGATTATGTGGTGGGATAGGGGGGGGGGGAATTTGATGTTTTGTTGGGGTGGGAGGGTGTAGTGGGTGTATAAGGGTAGGTTTATAGGGGGATGGTGTTGTATTTGATGTGTTAGGGTGGATGTTTTGGTTGGTTGGAGGGTGGTTGTTTATTGGATTTTAGGAATGGTTAGGTTTTATTGGTTGGGTGGGGAGGGTGGAAGGGAATTAGGGTTAATGGGGTGTGGATGGATGGGTAGGGGGAGGGTGGGGTGAGGGGGGTTTATTTGATTGTATTTAAGAATAAGGGGGAAAGATTTAGAGGGAATGTGAAGATGTTTGAGTGGATTGGATATGGGTTGGGGTAGATTTTTGGGGTGGATGGGGGGGGGGTGGTTAGTGGGGTGGTTTTTAAGAATTAGTTGAAGGAGGAGGGGGGTGTTGTGGGGGGGTAGAGGGGGGGAGGAGGGAGGAAGTATGTAAAGAAGGATTGGGAATGGGGGGGTTATAGAAGGTAAGGGGATAAAAGAGGGTGGGTGGTAGGTTGGAATGGGGATTATAGGGTGGGGGTGGGTGGGAGTAAGTTGAGGGGGGGGGGGATTATAAAGTTTTTGGGGTGAATTAGGGAGTTGGGGGATGGGGGGGAGTTTAAGGGATGGGGGTAGAGGGGGGGTGGGGATGGTGTGGGATTGAGGTTGTTGGGTTGGGGTGGGATTTGGGGAATAGGGTATGAAGGGTAAGGTTGTTGGTTGGTAGGGGGGTGAATGGAGGTATGGGTAGGGTAGGGGAATTAGGTGTTTTTGGGAGGGGGATGATGGATGAGAGGGGTATGGTATGGGGTTTTGTTGAGGTTTGGAAGGGTGAGGGTGGGGTAGAAGGTGTGAGGGATAGAGTGGTGGGGGAGGGGGGATTATTGGGAGGGGAATGAGATGAATGTTAAATGTAAGAGTGGAAAGAAAGATTTATAAATAGATGGGTGATGTAGAAAGTAAATGGTGGAATTTGTTGGGGGGAGGGGATGAATGTGTTAGTGAAGATGAATTTTAGTGTTTGATATGAGAGTAGTGGGAGTGGTATGGGAGATGTGTTTGTGTTTGGTGTGTATAGGAATATGAAGAAATGGTAGGGAGATTAATATGATTGTGTATGTAGTAATGTGGGGGTATCGGGGAGGGAGGGCCATTTTTGAAGATTTGGGGGTGGGAAATGGGGTGAAGGATTAGTATAGGGTAGGGTATGAGTGATGGGTAGATGAATAGTAAGAGTATATGGGGTGACTGGAGTGGTGGATGGTTTGGTGGATTAGTTTGTGGGTGTGGGTTAAAAGTTAAATATGGTTGTTGTGTGTCGGAGGGGAGTATGGGATGTAGGGACTGTTGTTAAGAGAAATTTATGGGGAATTTAGTAGGGGAGTTTAGTATAGGATAGAGGAAGTTAATGATTTAATGATGAATGTGGATAAAATGGGGTGGTGGATGGAAAACTGAGGGGGTAGGGTATGGGGGGGGTTTAAGGAATGGAGATGGGGAGATTAAAGGGGTGGGGTTTGGAGTTGTGTTTTGGGGTGGTGGGGTAGGGGAGATAAAGTGTTAGTGGTTTTTGGAATGGGGAGATGGAGGTGGGGTAGGAGGTGTGGTTTTAAGGTAAAGGGAAGTATGTAGGGGTTTGGGAAAGGGGTTGAGATAGGAAGGAAGGATGGTTGAAGATAAAGTGGTAAGTTATGAGGTATGGGTGTGGGATGGTTTGGAGTGTATTTTTGTGTTGATAGGTCTGGAAGCTTGGCAGGGCCTTTAGTTCTCAGCATCATTGGAGACATGTCCTTAACATCTGCAGAAGAAGAACTATTCAAACACTTTTCTTCTCTTACAGGTTGACTGAAAACGTCTTAAGTTTTCAGTCAGATTTGTTTGGAAATAGATTTCCAAACAAATCTATTTTTGTTTGGAAAACAACCCATTTTAAAACAAAAATAGATTTTAGCTTGTAGCCTCTCCTCGATCATGCTGGTAAAAAAATCATATGTCCAAAACGTCTCTAGACTGCGCCCTCCCACCATAGCCCTTTTTAATCCTGTAACCTAAATTGAATTGAATTATCAAAAATGAATGCAAAATGATCTTAAACAAATCAATTCAGAAAAATATAATTACTAAATTGGATTTTCATTTTAAAAAACAAAAATTAGACAGATAGCTAACACACACTTTTCAGACAAGACCATTCACGGCCCACATTTTACCCGAAGACAGAATAACGTGGTCTCTTTCGCTGTCCGGTCTCTTCCTATTCACAGACTCTGAGTCACAGTTGACCAGTAGGATTGCTCCATGACCACGTGGACCCCATTTCCAAGAATCCTAGTTTATCGTTTGAAATATTAATGAATACAGTGTTATTTTGAATAAATGCAGAAGTTATTAAATGTATTTCCTTTTATCCAAACCTTATCAGGGTTGTTCTTCTCCACTACACCATCTCTGTCCGCATCCACATCCAGGCAGATTTCTGTGCAACAACAGGAGTTGGTCACGGCCCCGGCCAGTACTAATACATGTGTATAAATGGTGTATTCAATCGTACCGACTGCGGTGAAGTGCAGAACTGCTTTGTCCAAGACATTCTTGTCAGTGTCATAATACCGGACTGAAAGCTAAACAGGGCAACATATGAGATCATAAAAGCATCCACACAAGCAATCCAATAGTGCAGTTGTTCAAATGATTGTGGGTCCTATTATAATGAGTCTGACCCCAAAGGCCAACTGCATTTGATGACCTCTGAAATACAGTTTAATTTACCTTGTTGTCATTTTCATGGTCACTCGCTTCTTTCATAGAGATGAGCAGGACAGAGTTGTCTGTGAGAGGCACAGGACTCAGGTGGGAGGTCTCCTCAGGCCGAGGACTGATGAGGTACTGAACATTGTGGGTGCATTTCACAGAGAAATATTTAGTTGTAGGAGGAGCGCTCCTGCATTGAAAGAAGAAATTACAGTGTTTGTGGTGCAAATAGACTCAAAACCAGTTTCATGAGATTAGAATCAGTAAACATAGCTTCACTCTTCGTAGTTCAGAAGCAGTTTAGTCAAAGCACACAACTTTTACTTCAAACTGTAACATTAGTCATAAGGATTGTGCAGTCCCTTGTATCTGGCGATACGGTGCATATCACAATATATACAAATATAAAGCGATTATTGTATACTTTTTATTGAGAACAAAACTCCAACAAGATGCTGCTGTGTATTTATTGTTTTTAAAAAATATATCCTATCATTATTGAATCTGTGTGAAGGGGGATTATCTTTTAATATTTTAGTTAGTGTGTGTGAGTGTTTTTGTGTGTGTTATAATAGTGTTATCATAGATAAAGTAGTTTAAGTTATTTTTATTGGATGACATTTATGTGAAAAATTCTGCTATAATGAATTACAAAATGAAATAAGGAGAACAGATAAAGACAATGTCGGGAAATATGTGTGCAAAAAGAGTATAAATTGCACTACATTGGCACATAAATAGTTAATTCACAATGGAATATGCATAATCAGAATCAGAATGGATTTTATTGCCCATTTGAGTAACAGGAAGCAAACAAAGAAATTGCTTTGGCTCTTTGTGAAAACAAGTATTATATAAAAATAGAATAAATTAAACAATGGAATTAGGCATGCATAAAAATAAATAACAAATATACATAACAATTGCTGATACTACTATTACATAAAAGTTTACTAAGTTACTTTAGTTACTGTTGATTATGTTGATTTGGTTGCAGTGTTAAAGTATTTTAAAGTAGACCTACACAGTATTGTCTTCAAGCCTAGAATGAAAGATGTCCTCTGTTTGCCAGTTGCCACAACACTGCCATTCATTCATTGTGCTTGGGTCAGACACTGCCATTATCCACACAAAAATGCCATCAAACCCACATAACGGTTGGTTTATCACTAGAGATCGTTCTAAATATTTTTTGTTATATGATATGTTATTCATAGTTTGTCTTGAAAACCAAACCACCATCCATTCATATTTAAAAGTATCTGTTGTTAATGTCGCATGCAGAAAGTGGAAAGTCCCTTTACGCTCAGTCTGGGCGGATCCTGTGAGACAAAGCTTACCTGTTCAGGTTCACCACCAGCTCTGTGTTAACGACGCAGACCACACTTGTACTTTTCCCATAGTCTACTCTCAAAGTGCGTTTAGGCGACATGGTGTTAAGCATGAAGCATGAAGAATCTGCTGCTATAGGAGTGAGTGCAGCTATATATAACTGGTAATTTAGGCTGTAACCTAAGGCTCTGTACAGAGCTTGAGTCCTCTTGCGCCGGAGGAGGTCACTCTCTGGTGACGAGGCTTTCTGCAGGCGATTGGTCAGCAGCAAGATAATAACAACACGGAAGAAGTCGTATCTCATGTCGCATTGAAAGATTCAGATTTTTGCCATTTTGCCTCAACACCACATTGGAATACATGTGCAAAAGTAAACAGTGTGCACCAGAGAAATACATAAATAAAATAAAAAGTCTATAAAGTACAGGGATAAAACAAGCTATAAGTACAGGAATAAAACGAGCTATAAGTGCAGGAATTAAACAAGTACAGGAATGAAACTAGCTAATAAAAAAGGACAGGAAACAATTGTCGCTGTGAAATCGAGCAACAAATACAGTTTCAATACAAGTGCAAGAACATTATGGCATCTCACAGAAAAAAAAAACATAACAAGAAATATATAACGTTTGCATACCTGTTCAGACATGTTTTTAAAGTTGTTCCAAGGACATGCAGAACACTTTGGGCTTTTCCAACGTCCAGACGACATGTGCGAGTGAATTGAGGAGTAGATTCTTCCCTTTGCCTCAAAAACTTGGGCAAAGAGGTGACAGCAACCTGTTGAAACATTGTCTGCACTGTCACAGCGCACTAGGATCACTGGGAGTGGCACTGGCTGGGGCAGAAAACCTTTATTTAATTTGGTGTAATTTGAGCTTCTATTTGGCCTAGCCCTTTTATCTCAAAGAGGCTGTTTGGGTCACGCCTATGTAGATCATGGGCTCAAATCAAGCGGTACCGATGGCAGGTCTATGGGGGGCAAAGAGCCACATGTCAGGGGCTCAGAGCAGGTAGCTCCATGAGAACCTCCGGACGGAACGGACCTCACTGGTTGTCCGTCATCAAAGCTTCACTGCTGGTGTCCCATAAACATGTGGACCTTAAAAAGTAACAACACAAGAATAATGTGCGCCTAAAGGAGGCTTGTCAACTTGTGCGAGCCAATGGAATTGTTGTAAAAACGTGGTGTGGGCGGGGCTTCGCATGTACCGCGTCATCTACTCGAATGCTTTGTTCCGTGATCTAAAACACCCGCAACCGGTTCCGGAGCAGGTTGTGTGCTGTGTTTGACGTCTTGTGTGAGCGACAGCACCAGAGGGAGCAGGGATGGCTGCTGAGGGTGTGTGGACTGGAGAGATGTCTGGAAGTGACGTGGAGGGAAGTGTTCGAGAAGCTGGGGCGGGAAATGAAAGCGATACAGATAGCGTTAAAGTCTGGCAAAACCAAAAAAAGAAACGTAAAAGGAAAAAAGAAAACCAAGGAACATCTCAATCGGAGGTAACAGACCACAGTGAAGAAGAGGTTGAAGAATTCAAAGTTGTGTTAACACTGGTTGAAGAGGGGGCGTCGTTCGGTAAGTGGAACCCGATCCATCTCACTCGGGAGGTCGACAGAGTGATTGGAACTGTCAAATATGCGAAAACGTTGAGGAACGGATCGTTGTTAATAATATGTATGAGCGCTGAGGACAGGAAGAAAGCGCTAAAACTGACTCGTATTGTGGGCCAAGAAGTCAAGGCAAGAGTTTTAGAAGACAAGCAAGTTGTGAATGGAGTTATTTCTGGTATCCCTCCGAGTGTCCCAGTGGAGGACATCAAATCGAGTTTGAAAGGAACTAACGCTAAGATTGTAGACATTAAACGTCTCAAAGCGTGGCGTAATGGCGAACGAAGTGATAGCTTCTCTGTTATGGTCAAATTCGAAGGAAAAGTACTTCCGGACAAAGTGTTCATTGACTTCATGTGCTATAATGTCAGGGCATATATCCCTCCACCACTTCGATGCTTTAAATGCCAAAAGTATGGCCATGTTGCTGCTGTGTGCAGAGGAAAACAACGATGTGGAAGATGTGCAGGGGAGCATGAATATGGAAAGTGTGAACAAGGAGCAAAGGTTAAGTGTTGTAACTGTGGGGGAGAGCACAGCTCTGCATACCGTGGATGTGAAGTTAGTAAAAGAGCTGCTGAAGTACAAAAAGTCAGAGTCTCCACTGGAGTCACCTATGCAGAAGCGGCTAAGAAGGTCCCTGCGTTGCCAAAGAAAGTAACAGCTGCAGTAGCCCCAACTACTAGTAGCTCCAAGTGTGATAACTGTAACAAAATAAATGAAGATACACTAATGATGGAAAAAGAGGATTTCCTACTCTTCATGGCGGAAGTAATAAACTGCACCCTGCAAGCAAAGGGCAGAACAGAGAAAATTGTAATTATCCTAAGTGCTGCAGAAAGACACCTTGGTATCAAAGATGTGAAACTGGAGTCGATTAACGAAAAATTAAACGTAAGGAAGAAAAACACACCAGGACAGCGATTGATACAACAATGTGGTACCTCATCCTCTTTATGTTGATTGTATTCCAATGGAATGCAAGAAGCTTAATTAGTAACGGTCAAGAATTTAAAAAGTATATTGTGGATCAGGAAGCTAAACCTCATTTGATCTGTATTCAGGAAACCTGGCTTAAGCCAGCCTTAGACTTTGTAATACCAGGATATGTGTCAATCCGTTGTGACAGGGAACAGAGGCAAGGTGGGGGTATTGCTACGTTTGTACAGAGTGGACTTAATTTCAAAGTTGAGGATATCAGTCAAGAGTTTATAATTACCAAAATATGGGCGAATGATGGTCAGTTTTCTGTGATTAATTTTTATAACCCTGGCAACAGGCTGAACTCGGAAATATTGAATAATGTGATTAGTAAAGCACAAGGGAAAGTTATTTGGTGTGGTGATTTTAATGCCCACAGCACATTATGGGGCTGTCGTAGCACTAATGCAAATGGGGTAGCTGTAGAAGAGTGTATCCAAGCTAACTCACTTGTGTGTATTAACGATGGAAGTGGTACAAGATACAATTGTTCAAATAATGTAGTGAGCACTCTGGATCTCACATTAGTTTCTAGTGTTATTGCAAGTAAGGCTTCCTGGGAGGTTGTAAAAGGCGCCCTAATGGGAAGTGACCATTTTCCAGTTATTACCAAAGTAGGAACAGAAGTCATTGAGGAAACTGACTCAAGAATTCCAAGATGGAAGCTGGACAAGGCTAACTGGGAGTTGTTCAGAATAATAGTGAGCCGCTTGTGTCCAGAAGACTTTGGGAGAGAAATTACAGATGTTGACGTGTATAATGAGGAATTAACCTCTGTTATCCTGCAAGCAGCAGGGGACACGATCCCAAAGGTTAAAGGAAAGAAGCAGAATAAGGGTGTGCCTTGGTGGAATGATGATTGTAGTGAGGCCATTAAAAAAAGAAATAAAATGTTTAAAAGGTTACGTAAAGTTCTTACATTTGAGTCCCTCCTTAATTATAAAAGAGCTCAAGCTCAAGTTAGGAGGGTTATAAAAACCGCACGAAGAACCTTTTGGAGGAGTTACAGCAGCAAGATTGGGCGAGAAACAAAGCTGGCTGATATCTGGGGTGTCATTAGGAAAATGAGTGGAGTTAAAGGAGTTTATTCAATGCCAGTTTTGCAAAAAGAAGAGGTCACTGCAGTAAACAATAAGGACAAGGCAGAGTTACTTGCGAGTACTTTTGTTAGTGTACACAGCTCGAGTAATCTATCTGAAGACATAAAGGAATGTAGAGATAGAACTGCAAAAGAGAACCCAGGTGTCGCTAACATGAAGAATTCCTTTTGTGATGATCTTGACCTGCCTTTCACTATGTTTGAGCTTAAACGTGCAATAGCTTCTTCTAAACAGACATCCCCTGGCAAAGACGGAATCTGCTATTCCATGTTGGCGAGAATGGAGGAGGAGTCCTTGGTAGCTGTAGTGAGGTTGTTTAACTTAGTCTGGGAAACTGGGAAGATCCCTGATGCTTGGAAACAATCTGTTATAGTGCCAATCGTGAAACCTGGAAAGGAAGCATCAGACCCATCTAGCTATAGACCCATTGCATTAACATCACAACTAGGGAAAACTATGGAAAGGATGATTACAACACGGCTGAATTATTATTTGGAAAAGAAGAAACTGTTCACCCCTTTCCAAAGTGGCTTTCGGAGGGGACGAAGCACCATGGATGCACTTGTCTGCCTAGAATCTGAAATAAGAAAAGCCCAAACAAATAAAGAAGTGGTTCTGGCTGTGTTTTTCGACATAGAAAAAGCATACGATATGCTTTGGAAAGAGGGGCTGCTGATTAAATTGTCCAAACTTGGCGTTGGAGGAAGACTTTACAATTGGGTGCTAAGTTTCCTGTTTGGAAGGAAAATAGAAGTAAGAGTTGGATGTGCCTATTCTGATACTTATACAGTTGAAAATGGAACCCCACAGGGAAGTGTTTGTAGCCCTGTTCTATTTGATATAATGATAAATGATATTTTTGAGAATGTAGAAAGTTCTGTTGGGAGATCCCTCTACGCGGATGATGGGGCCCTTTGGATCAGGGGTCGTAATTTGAAATACCTACAAAGGAAAATGCAAAATGCAATAAATGAAGTAGAAATGTGGGCTGGCAGTTGGGCAATTAAAATGTCTGTTCCAAAGACACAAGTAATTTGTTTTTCAAAAAGACACAAAGAAGTTGAGCTAAATTTGTATGGACAAAAACTGGAACAAGTCGCTATGGTTAGGTTTTTGGGAATGTGGTTGGATGAGAAACTAACATGGAAAAAACATATTGAGTCAGTCAAAGATAAATGTAAAAAAGTAAATAACATATTGCGATGCCTAGCAGGCCGAGATTGGGGAGGAGCAAGAGGGGCCCTAATAAGAATTTACCAAGCACTCATGAGGTCCTCCTTGGATTATGGCTGCTTTGTTTACATGTCTGCTGTAGAGACACACCTGAAGAAGCTAGACCAAGAACAAACACAAGCACTGCGTACATGTTGTGGAGCTTTCAGGACCTCGCCACTCTCTGCCCTTCAGGTTGAAGCGGGGGAAGCCCCTCTCCGTCTGAGGAGGATCCAGCTCATGCTCGCATACTGGTTGAACCTTCAAGGCCATGACACTCTTCATCCAACGAAAGAGACATTAAAAGATTGCTGGGAGCATCAAGAATCTGAGCTTTTTAGCTTTGGGTGGGTGTGCGAAGTCAAAGCACAACACTTTGACCTAAATGGTTTTAAATATTGCCCCACAGTCCCATGTTCTCCGGTCCCTCCATGGGTTTTTGAACCTCCCAGGGTTGACCTATCTCTCCATCAAAGTATTAAGGATAAAGGAACTATACCGGAATGGCGTATTGTGCACGAATATCTTGAATGTCACTATGATAGTCTGATTCTGTACACTGATGGATCTAAGGACCCAGATAGCGGACGAACCAGTGCAGCAGTGTGCATCCCAGAGTATGGAATCAATATTAGAAGAAGAGTCTCAAACCATCTAGCAGTATACACGGTTGAGCTGATCGCCATTTTACTTTCACTTAACTGGATTTTGATGAACTCTTGTGTCAATATTTGTAAAACTGTTATTGCATCCGATAGCCAAGCAGTGCTATTGAGTCTCAAATCTGGAAAGTCGTGCAGGATGGATCTACTTTATAAGGCTTATAACCTCCTGGCACAGGTGTATAACAAGAATATTGATGTGTCACTGGTTTGGGTTCCCGCTCACGTTGGAGTAGAGGGGAATGAGCAGGCGGATATACTCGCTAAACAAGCCTTAAGATCTGACACTATTAACATAAATGTATCACTAAGTCAAGCTGAGGGAAAAGCCCTGCTGAAATCTAAAATCATGAAGCTTTGGCAAGAGTGCTGGGACGTCAGTGATACAGGAAGACATCTTTATGGAATCCAGAGTAAAGTTGGATCAAACTGCCTGTGGGCAGGTAACCGTAAAGAGGAATCCATTATCACTCGTTTGAGGATCGGACACACAGGCCTAAACCACTCACTCTGGAGAATTGGAAAGCATGTGGATGGAACATGCCAGCACTGTACACATGAACCAGAGACTGTAGAACATGTCCTCCTGCACTGTGATTATTATAGAGAGCAACGAGTCTGCATGTCAACAGCTGTTGCAAAAGAAACACGCCCATTTAATTTAAAGACATTGCTAGATAAACCGTCTGTAAACATCCGCAAACGTCTAATCCATTTCATTAAAACCACCGGACTGAAAGATCGTATTTGAACTGCTGATTCTAGCTTGATTCCAATGGTCCACACACCCCAGTACAGTAGGTGGCGGTAATACTCCTTTTTTTGGTTGTCAACCGCCAAAAAAACAGCAAAGAAGAAGAAGAAGAACACCCGCAACCGGAATATCTTATGGTATAATTACGGAAATATAATGTTTACATTTCTACAGGCAACACGGAATGAACTTCTGTCGATATGAAGTGGTATCTTCATATGGTTTTGACTGAAACCCAGAGTTTTTGAACTGGATATCGCAGCAGCGGTGAGCTAGCAGAGCTAACGGAGCTAACGGAGCTAACGGAGCTAACGGAGCTAACGGAGCTAACGGAGCTAACGGAGCTAACGGAGCTAGCAGCGCTGGGAGGAGTGCTGGTCCAGATTGGAGCGGAAGGAATTTGAGATCTGAAGAAAAGCTTACATCTTGCCAAGATGTACTATGCATGTGTGGAAACATGATGCCCAGTGTGCTTCTATTGTCTGAGATGAGGATACTTTACATTTAAATGAAGTTCCGTGTAACCAGTGAAAAAGGGAAAGCATTAATGTTTTCTGAAGTGTAGCGTGCGAGCCACGTAGCGCTAGCTCTGTAGCTTCACACAGGAGGACTTTTAAAATGGCGCAAGATTGGCCTTTTCTTTCGAACCTTTTATTAATGGTTTTGTGTTGGAGGGCCTGCTGTGCGGCGCTTTGTCCAAGTACATGCACATGTTTCACTGGACCAGATGACACTCATGTTATGGAATGTAACAGGAAAAGGCTGTCGTCGGCTCCTCTTCAAGCGCCTGCGGAGGTGACCCAAGTGTGAGTAGTGTCTGCTGCTCTGCAAACACAATGCACAACCCAAACACAACATTGCAACATCCCTAATACTTGAACTCTTACTGCGTGAATCCTGTGGCATGTTGGTGACAGTTAACCTATAGCTGCGGTGCCTAACATGTCCCCCTTCTTAAATAAGATATCATGTTTGTCTTAACACAATCCGACTTGTCAAAAGTATAATGCTACGAACAAATCATATATACTTTTAAGTAAGAGCCCAGTGTGTCTAAGTCTGACGCTTTGAGCTCAGACTTGATCTTTTCACTTTTCTGTCTGAAAAGCTGATCTTTTGACAAATGCATGCACGTGAGCTAGAAGCCAAATGTTTTTATTGCCTGTTCCATTCGTGTTTTTGAAAATTGGGTACCCCATCTTTAATGAGTGTCTCTTAACAAGTTATTGATCTATTATTTAAATAACTTTCATCAGTATTTGATTAATATCTTACTATATTGTGAAGAGGGTTTATAACTTGTTTAGGACATGTAAATTATATAATAATAAAGTATTACTAGAATAATATATGTAATCCATTCAATTCCATTTAATTTTATATAGCCCTACATCACTACAGCAGTCGGCTCAGAGGACTTTGCAAGGTTGTCTTTTCACCATCATCAGATTAAATCAAACAGACAGGAAATGTAATGATAACGAACACATGGGAGCCATTGGTCCATCGACATACAACTAATGTCCATAAATGTCCTTGAATGTCATTGATCATCACTATCCTGAGACCTTCTTGCATTGTAAACCAATTTGAGATATTTTATTTTTTGTAAGTAGTAAGTAAGTAATCTTTATTTATATACCGCCTTTCACAGACCAGAGTCACAAAGCGGTTTACAATTGTTATTTTTTGGGCATTTGTCACTTCACACAGAGATGGGAGCGGGGTCGCCAGTACAGGAGGCGCATGCCAGACCTATTGTACATATTTTTAGTGGTAGGGGAAACCCGGCGTACCCAGAGGAAACCTACGCAGACACGGGGAGAACATGCAAACTCCACTCAGAAAGGCCCTGGTCCGACCAGGATTCGAACCCAGGACCTTCTTGCTGAGAGGCAAGAGTGCTATCCACTCAGCCACCGTGCCGCCTAAATTTGTAGCTGTTCCCTTCTGGCATTATTGTAATCTTGCTATTTGGTCAAATCTGTTTAAAAAAAAAAAAAAATCCCTTTGCAGCTCTTTGGGATCAAAACAACTATTTCATGAATTGTCAGAATAATACACCAAATAACTGCTCATCAAAATAATGAGTACTTACAGGTTGATGAGATGCAATATAACGTTATTATTTACATAATATTTAAAACATCTTCGCCACACTTGCACTTGAACACTGAAATTAAAGACTTGATTTGTTCATTTTGTTTGTGATATTTTTTTTTTACAGAAGCTTGAATCACAATGACCTCATAATGTTCCCTGTTCTTGGTGAAATTTCCTCCAACATCACATTACTATCATTGTAAGTATTAATGCCAGGTGCTTGAATAATTATGTGAAGCTGTTCATAAAGCCTGTTTCTGTTTTTCCTTGTTTTAGAATCCACAATCGCATCTCTGAGTTAACCATGCATCAGTTGCAGCCATATGTATCCTTGGAGTCGCTGGACCTCACATCCAATTCCATATCTGAACTCACCGTTGCATCATTCCCATCCATGCAGCTGAAATATCTGTAAGTCTATAACCGCTTTACATAGGTCATCTTCACATGATCTCAGAGAAATAGCAGAATGGATGTTGGAATCACATATAGTAACAGAATATCATGAAGACGCACTGGAACTTTAACCTTTTATTTCTTAATTGCACTAATCAGGTTGTTAAGAAAGCTCGTCTGTCTGTACTCTCTGTGTAAAATTTACCACAAACTCTAAGATCCTGCTTGACATTTTGCTTGTTGGTTCTGTGACTGTGTGGTTTGGCAACATCAGTCAAAGAAAGATGAGCTCTAAGAACAAGGTGCTCCATTCTGAGAGAGAGAGTGAGCTGCCTGTTCTGAAGGTTCTTTTTGAATCTAGACTCTTAAACCGAGCTTTTGAAATAATCAATGACTTTTCTGGCCCCTGGAAAAGCCATGTTCCAGATTCTTCCCTCTGGCAGAAGATATTTTTCGTGGAGATCTCGCTTTGCTAACAGCGTCTTCCCTTAAGCTGTTATCATTTCAAACAAAGCACTTCAATGATCGCACATGTATTAAAACTGCTTTATTTGATCGATCGTTTCTAGCACTTTTTATTCCTGTACTTTTAATCTTATTTTTCACTTGTGCTCTCTAGGGACTTTTGCAAATGTAATCCAATGTGGTTTAACTGCAAATGATAAATACAATGAATCTGAATCTGAATCTGCTTTTTTTAACAGGAATTTGAGTAATAACAGGCTCAGTGTCCTGGAGCCTGGCTGCTTTGAAAACATTTCCAGTTCCCTTCTGGTGTTGAAACTGAATAGGAACAGACTGGTGACTCTCCTTTCCAAAGTCTTCAAGCTTCCACAGCTCCAGTTTCTGTAAGTCATGGATCTCATCGTCTCATGGAGCAAAAACTGAAGAGAGATTTTGGGTTCCTGGCGATGCCGTAACATGTTTAATTTCTTTTCAGTGAAATGAAGCGAAACAAGATTAAGATAATTGACAGCCTGACATTTAAAGGGATGGACTCGTTGAAGTCACTCAAGTTGCAAAGAAATGGAATCACTAAGTTAATGGATGGAGCGTTCTTTGGTCTTAACAACATGGAAGAACTGTGAGTATTGTCACACAAAGGTTTTACAGAACTTTTTTCAGGTACGCTGCAAAAAGTAAAGAAATAGGAGAAAAATGGCAAAAATTTGGCTAAATATATCTTAATTTGACCACTTTCTGACTTCCTTAAAACAAGATTTCCCAATGGGACAAGCATTTTGTACTTGTTTTGAAAAGATACAAGAAATCTCTCTTGGAATGTGAAAATAGAGCAACACTTAGTCCCATTGGCAAATCTTGTTTTAACACAGTCAGAATGTGCTCAAATTAAGATAAAAAGCCCTCAAGCATTTATTACCTCATTTATAATTTTTTGCAATGTAATTATCTTTTTTCTCATCTTGTTCACAGAGAATTGGAGCACAATAATTTGACAGAGCTCAATAAAGGCTGGTTGTATGGTCTACGTATGCTGCGTGTCTTGAGGGTCAACCAAAATGCCATCAACATCATTCGACCTGACGCTTGGGAGTTTTGCCAAAAGCTGGTAGAACTGTGAGTTTTTTAATTCCCACAAACATTTTGTGTCACAACTCTTCCCCCAGTTGTGATCATTTTGGCGTTTGAGACTTCTGAATCACAACGTCTTTTTTTTTTCCTTGTACGTTTTGCAGAGACCTCTCCTTCAATGACCTGAGCAGACTGGAGGATACTGCCTTTGTGGGACTGGGCCTCCTGGAGAGCCTGAACCTTAGCGATAATTCCATTGGTCACTTGGGAGAAAGGGTGTTCACGAGCCTCGGAACTGTGCGCACACTGTGAGTCCACCGCTCATGTTTGTAGTGAAGGAATATATTGACAACTCTTTTCGATCTCACAACTTTAGTCGTTCAATTGGTTTCATATCCACACTACAAAACATGAGAGAATCATTGCGAGAATCAAGTTGTTTTCTTAATCTTAATTTGAGTACATTGTGATTGTCCTAAAACAGGATTTGCAAATGGGACAAGAACTGTTGATCTATTTTTTTCATTCCAAGGAGGACATTTCTTGTATATTTTTAAAACAAGATGATTTTGCTTTTCCCATTGGAAAATCTTGTGTTCTCAAATCAAGATGCATTTTGCCAAATTTGAGCAATTTGTGACTTATTTTTCATAATTCTTTGCATTGTAGACATGAATATTACTCCTGGTCTGAACACACTTCTTGTTCTCATGCCAGATTTGACATAAGTGCAAAAGATGGCACGAGATCAATGCCATCGTAGTGATCTTAGAATATGTGTGCTTTATGCGTGGCACAAAGGGGGTCAGTCTGGGAGGCACATCATTCTGGGTTCCCTAGTGGGAGAAGGACATTCAACAGTTCTTTCTGAACGGTTCAGGCAGGAGAAACAAAGAGGCCAATGACCCAGGCTGTAAACAGTGGAGCTATGAACTGTCCAAGTGCTAAATGGGGCCAATTAATAGTGCCTCATCAAACATACGAGGGCAGTGAACTGGATTGCACAGGGCAGCAGGGGTGTATTCCATTGTTAGACTTGTTATTCTGATTTGTATTGCTAATGACAACCCTGCTGAAGCCCTGTCTGGCTCTGTCCATTTTGTGCTAATCTTTTACCGCTTTCTGCTGCTGTCATTTTCAGAGATATTCGCAATAATGAAATCTCCTGGGCCATTGAAGACTCTATTGGTTTATTTGATGGAATGAAGACCCTCAACACATTGTGAGACATTTTATTTTCTGTGAGAACAACTATGAAACATGTTCCTGTAATAATGTTCTGCTTTTTAGACTGCTCCAGAGAAACAAAATCAAGTCGATCACTAAAAAGGCGTTTGAAGGCCTAGACGAATTGGAATATCTGTGAGTCATGAACCAGTTTTAACGTTGAACTTATGCCGCTCATACATTTTTTGAAACTTTGCTGTCTCCTTTTAGGGATCTGAGCAGGAATGAAATCATGTCTATACACCCAGAGGCTTTCTCCCACGTGAAGCTGAAAGTCTTGTAAGTTAACGTTTCTATGCAGTGGTGGTCTCAAATTATTTCCCTTAATTTCACTGAACTTGATTTTTGTTTTTTTTTATCATAATAGCGTTTTGAACACCAGTAGCCTGCTGTGTGACTGTCACATGCAGTGGTTGCCCCCCTGGCTCTTGGACAAGCCTTTTCAGACCTCTGTGTTTGCTGTCTGCGCACATCCTGCTAATCTACTGGGGCAAAGTGTCCTCACCATCAGCCAAGACAGTTTTGTTTGTGGTCAGTTCATCAGATGATTCTAGTATTTTGTTTCTTATATTTGTGCCAAGTGTGTAATACGTCTGAACACTCCACAGATGACTATCCGAAGCCTCACATCATGACACACCCAGATACATTGGTGGCATTACGGGGTAATAATGTGACGTTGAGCTGCGTGGCCTCGAGCAGCAGCAGTTCTCCCATGACCACTGCCTGGAGAAAGGAAGGAGAGGTTCTCTATGACGCTGAGGTGCACAACTACGCTCGATACCAGGACGGAGAACTGATGTACACCACAGTCTTGCACATGCTCAACGTCAACTTCACTGATGAAGGCCGATACCAGTGTGTGGTCTCCAACCATTTTGGATCCAATTACTCTAATCGGGCCAGGCTCACTGTGAATGGTAATTCCAATTTAAGAAAAATGTTACATTTTGATGAATTCATTTACACATAGGGCTGGGTGTTATGGCAACAAATTAAATCTCAAATTGATTGAATTGAATTTTTTGAACACACTCTTTACACCTGCGGTGACATGTGGCTGAGTGGATAGCACTCTTACGTCTCAGCAAGAACGTCCTGGGTTCAAATCCTGGTCTGCGTAGGATTCTTCCGGGTGCTCCGGTTTCCCCTACCACTAAAAACTAGGGATGTACCGAATCTAGGATTCGGTTTCGGATTCGGCCGAATATTGGCTTTTTTGACGGGGTTCGGTTTCTGGCCGAACCTTAGATCTTTCCCCACCGAACCCTGCACTTACACTATGCTCGTGTGGCTTTTGGATTCGTCACGGAAACCAGATTCGTCCGGAAGTGTAAAGAAACATGCACTAAACAGCGGAGGTTTATATCCTCTTGCTCTCTGTTGCTCTTTGGGTGCTGCGGGTGAGGGCTCTTCCTGGTCATGTGATCGCCGCGGTCCAATTAGCTCTAATAATAATAATAATAATAATGCATTTTATTTCTTAGGCGCCTTTCAAGACACTCAAGGTCGCCTCACAACAACAAGTAAATTAACATCAACAATTAAAAACAGTTAAAATACAATGTTAAAACAGCATGAATAAAACATACAGTTGTGGTCACAGTGAGTAGGCTTGTCTAAACAGATGAGTTTTGAGGATGGATTTGAAGTGTGGGAGTGAGTCGGTGTTACGGAGGTCAGGAGGGAGAGTGTTCCAGAGCTGGGGAGCAGAGCGACTGAAGGCTCTACTCCCCATGGTGACGAGATGGGCGGGAGGGGGAGCAGTGAGCCGGAGAGAGGAGGAGGAGCGGAGAGAGCGGGCAGGTGTGGAGACATGGAGGAGGTCAGTCAGGTATGGAGGAGCGAGCTTGTGGATTGCTTTGAATGTGAGGAGCAGGATTTTGTATTGGATGCGGTGGGTGATGGGGAGCCAGTGGAGCTGTTGAAGGACAGGAGTGATGTGGTTTATGGAGGGGGTGTGTGTGATGATGCGGGCGGCTGCATTTTGGACCAGTTGGAGTTTATGTAGAGTTTTTTGAGGGAGACCAAACAGCAGGGAATTACAGTAGTCGAGACGAGAGGTGACGAGGCTGTGTACAAGTATGGCAGTGGTGTGAGGGGAAAGAGAAGGGCGGAGCCGGCGGATATTTCTGAGGTGGAAGTAGGCGATGCGGGTGATGCTATTGATGTGTGCGGTGAAGGAGAGGGTGCTATCGAGGGTGACACCCAGACTCTTTACCTGAGGAGAGGGGGAAATGGAGGAGCCGTCAATGGGAATGGAGAAATTGCTGATTTTATTTAGGGTGGATTTGGTGCCAATGAGGAGGAGTTCAGTTTTATTGCTGTTGAGTTTGAGAAAGTTTGAAGTGAACCAGGACTTTATTTCATGGAGGCAGTTGGTGAGAGAGGACGGTGGGAGTGTGGAATTTGGTTTACTGGAGATGTAGAGCTGGGTGTCATCCGCGTAGCAGTGAAAGTGAATGTGGTGTTTTCTGAAGATGTAACCAAGAGGGAGAAGATAGATTAGGAACAGGATGGGGCCGAGGACAGAACCCTGGGGGAACCCCTGAAGTGACTGGGAAGGGACGGGAAGTAAAAGATTTGAGCTGGATGAACTGGGTGCGGTCAGAAAGGTAGGAGCAGAACCAGGAGAGGGGAGTGTTTGTGATGCCAATGGAGGAGAGTCTGTCCAGAAGGATGGGGTGGGAGATAGTGTCAAAGGCTGCGCTGAGATCAAGCAGGAGGAGGATGGAGAGTGAACCGGAGTCAGCAGAGAGGAGAAGGTCGTTGGTGATTTTCAGGAGGGCAGTTTCAGTACTATGGAGGGAACGGAAGCCAGATTGAAATTGTTCATATAGGTTATTGGAGGAGAGGTGGGCGTGGAGTTGGGCAGCAACAGTTTTTTCAAGTAGTTTGGAGATGAAGGGAAGGTTTGAAATGGGGCGGAGTTATTGAGGTCAGAAGGATCAGAGCCAGGTTTCTTGAGAATGGGAGTGACAGCCGCAGTTTTAAGAGGAAAGGGTACAGTACCAGTGGTTAGGGAGGCTTGAATTATGTTAGTTATGAGAGGGGAAATTGCAGGAGTGGAGGCTTTAACGAGAGCAGTGGGGAGGGGGTCAAGTTGGCAGGAGGAGGTTTTGGATTTCTGGATAAGGGTGGAGATTTGGGTAACACATGGTAATGTGAAGGCAGAAAACAGTTGGGTTGGAGCTGGGAAGGATGGAGCAGCAACATTGGGAGAAGATGAAGGAGTGAGCTGCTGGTGGATGTGCTGAATTTTAGAGGTGAAAAATGAGGCCAGGGTATTGCAGAAATCAGAAGAATAGAGATGAGATGGAAGAGAGTCAGGAGGTTTTGTGATGGTTGAGATGAGTGAGAAGAGTGCTTTGGAGTTACCTTCATTTGAACTGATTAAACCGGAATAATAAATGGATTTGGCTTTGGAGATGGAGTCCTTGTATTGGAGAATATGAGTTATGTACATGTTTTTGTGAATAGTGAGTCCAGTTTTTCTGTAGAGTCTTTCAAGTTGGCGGCCTTTTGTTTTGAGTTGTCTGAGAGCGGGAGTGAACCAGGGTGCTGTGAGAATAAAGGAGACAGAACGGGTTTTATATGTTATATGCCGGTGCGAGGGGAGGCAGGTTGTGCTCGAGGTATGTTCTGATTCTTGTTTTCACCTGTAATGCGGTTCTGATGGGATCATAAACTAACTGCCTATTCACCAACTTCATAGAGCCGATTACCAGTGCCAGGTACTTGTCATCTGACCTGCGTATGACCGTAGAAGCAGAGTTGGGGAGTCCATGTTTAGGCATTAGCATTAGCTTCTCTCCAACTTGTCTCATTGTACGAGTTTGGCATATTTCTCAAATGTCCATATATGAACCAGTGGAAGCTATTTATGCATGTATGGTGCTTTAGCTCTTATTTTTACATGACATGCCAGTGTTTCCCACACATAGACTAATCTGTGGCGCACCGCCACAGATTAGAGACCGCCCGCCACAAATTGCGTTTCGTATTATTATATATATTTTTTTTTTGTTACGTTATTTAAAACATGCATCGTCTAGTGCCGCCGCAGCGGTCAATTTGACAGCGGGGAGGGGGGTTTAAAATGTGGCGGCCCTTCGTAACTCTCACTCAAGCTACGCGTCTCTCCCACATACAGAGACCTACACACACACAGCCCCTCCCCTTCGTGCACACCGCGTGTCTCCGTCTCCATCAGCGATCATCGCTGTAAGCAGCTGTGTCTATTCATTTACCGCGGTAAAGTGGCCCGCATCTTTCAGCTCTATGAACATGCGGCCCGCATCGGGGAAAAGACGGTGCGCGTTTTGTTGAGAACTTACGGTAACAGCGGAACGTCCTTTCGGAGTCACCCATTTTTATCGAACAGAAAGCGCGCTGGGGTCAGGGAGACACGTTTTTGTGATTAAAACCTTATAGAGATGCCACCCGGCACACATAGCACCAGTCCCCTACGATTCCTCCGGCAGATTGTGAGTCCTCAGGAGGATAGCCACTCTATTGTTTACATATATAAAGTACACAATTTGGTCCGCTAGTGCAATTTTCAAGTATTGTAACTATTTACTGGAATAAGGTGTGCGACTAATTTCACTTGACTCATGACCTTATTATTGCCCTCTGCCACTGTACCAAAGACCAGAAACTTTTACTGTAGAAATATTGAGAAATATTGAGGTAAAGTAGCCATTTTGGTCCAAAATACCTCCAAAATAGTCAAAACATGTCACTTTTGATCTACTGTAACTTTTTACTGTAAAAAGGTGTGCGACTAATTTCACTGGATTCATGACCTCAAGATTGTCCTCTACCACTGTACCAAAGACCAGACACTTTTACTGTAGAAATATTGAGAAATATTGATTTAAAGTAGCCATTTTGGTCCAAAATAGCCTAAAAATGGTCAAAACATGTCACATTTGATCTACTGTAACTTTTCACTGTAAAAAGGTGTGCAACTGATTTCACTGGATTCATGACCTCAACATTGCCTTCTACCACTGTACCAAAGACCAGACACTTTTACTGTAGAAATATTGAGAAATATTGAGGTAAAGTAGCCATTTTGGTCCAAAATACCTCCAAAATAGTCAAAACATGTCACTTTTGATCTACTGTAACTTTTTACTGTAAAAAGGTGTGCGACTAATTTCACTGGATTCACGACCTCATGATTGCCCTCTACCACTGTACCAAAGACCAGAAACTTTTACTGTAGAAATATTGATTTAAAGCAGCCATTTTGGTCCAAAATAGCCTAAAAATTGTCAAAACATGTCACTTTTGATCTGCTGTAACTTATTACTGTAAAAAGGTGTGCGACTAATTTCACTGGATTCATGACCTCAAGATTGTCCTCTACCACTGTACCACTGTACCCCACTCCCCCCCCCCGACGACCACCACACATTGCCTTCAAACCTGTGGGAAACACTGCATGCACAGTAATATATATATACTTTATCACTGAAGTTTTGCTGTGAACTGAATGTATGTGTTTAATGATGGCCGTGATTATTTTAAATGTTATAATAGAATAGAATAGAATAATAGAATCTGGTCGAGCTACATGTCCAATTTGCAATGTCGATTTGTCTCGTGGTGGTAAAGGACCCTAAATAGTACACAACACCGCCGCTGTTAAAACATTTGCGTATGAAACATTAATGGACTAAGGATGGAATAGGATTCGGTTTTCGGATTCGGAAGAATTTTAACCAGTGGATTCGGTATTCGGTCGAACCCCAAAACTCTGGATTCGGTACATCCCTACTAAAAACATATGCAATAAGTCTTGCAGTCACCTCCAGACATCTCAAATATAATCAATGTTGTGCCTTTTCTCCACTATACTGTGCGACTTGGCTCATACTTTGACCTGGAGTTCACAATTTTTACTTCGGTCAACACTTGTGTAAACACCTATTTACACATTCTACTAACCATCTGTATCTGACTTTAAAATGGTTTATCTTGTTTTCTGTTGTTATAAATTGCATAGGTCACGGGACTAATACAGCTAACGCTTCTTTCCATGCAGAAATGCCATCTTTTCTAAAAACTCCCATGGACCTAACGATCAGGACAGGGACCATGGCCAGGCTGGAGTGTGCAGCAGAAGGCCATCCATCACCACAAATTGCTTGGCGTAAAGACGGAGGCACAGACTTTCCAGCGGCCAGAGAGCGAAGGATGCATGTGATGCCAGATGACGACATCTTCTTCATTGCAAACGTGAAGAGTGAAGACATGGGGATTTATAGTTGCACTGCTCAGAATGCAGCTGGAAGCTTATCAGCTAATGCCACTCTCACTGTTCTCGGTGAGTTATTGACCTGCTTTGAAATGTTTAAAACCAGAGAACATTTAATTTAATGTCTCACCGAAACTTTGTTTTTTGCTTCTTTGCTTTCTTTCCAGAAACTCCATCTTTCCTTAGACCATTGGAAGACCGCACAGTAGCTCGTGGAGAAACTGCTGTGCTCCAGTGTATTGCTGGAGGAAGCCCCGCCCCTCGCTTAAACTGGACCAAAGATGATGGACCCCTGATGCTGACAGAACGACACTTTTTTGCTGCAGCAAACCAGCTCCTCATCATTGTGGACGCAGGCCCGGCTGATGCTGGGAAATACACATGCATTATGTCAAACACTCTGGGCACTGAGAGAGGCCACATTTACCTTAGTGTGTCACCGTCACCAAACTGTGAGACTGGATTGGCCTATGATCAGGACGGCTGGACCACTGTGGGTATTGTGGTCATCGTGGTGGTGTGCTGTGTGGTGGGTACGTCTCTGGTCTGGGTCATTGTCATTTACCACATGCGGCGTAAGAATGAGGACTACAATATCACCAACACAGGTATCAGTCTGCAGTCATGGATTTACATGAGGTTTTGACACATGATTCAAATAGAAATATGCTTTGCTTCCAGATGAGATTAATTTGCCCGCAGACATTCCCAGCTACCTTTCCTCTCAGGGCACTTTGTCTGAGCCCCAAGAAGGATACAGTAACTCAGAAGCAGGGAGCCACCAGCAGCTCATGCCTCCTCTCTCCAATGGATATGTCCATAAAGGAACTGATGGTGAGTCCCTGATGACCTTTTTGTATCCAATCAATGCCTTTTATACATGTCCTATAGTGCAGAGGCACAATAACATGGGTTAAAACTAAAACCACAGTATTTTGAGGAGTGGACACTTTATTCATTTATGAAATGCCCTCTTTCATCCCGGCTGAAACTTTCAGAGTGCATCAGCTCTTTTGGAACACATTTTGTGTATAGATATTTGTCATCAACACAGGTGGATTGTTTAGTGCAGTCCAGCATTTGCTTGAGTGGATAGAACTCTGGAGAGTGTTTCTGCTTCCTCCCGAACAGAGTAATGCAGAGTTATTCGACCAAGTGACCTTTCACTCAGGCTCCTGTTTACAATATAAATATATTGGATTACATTATGCCACTAACTTATTAGATTTTTCATTGCAAATTATATTACTCTTTACTTTCTGTAAAATAGTTTTTTACTTAGTGGGTTTATTCTTAATCACGTAATATTGATTAATTTTTCAAACTTGGATCAACAATATTTTTAAACATTGCTCTCTGTTTAAAGATGCAGTAAGCGATTCTGTTAGCTTAGCCGTAGCACCAACTCGAAACCACTCCCCTCGCCTCTCCACCAAACCAAAACAACCGGCACACGTGAACGCGCATCCACAAGTGACATCATCTATCATCAGATGAACATGTCACATTCTCCTGATGAGCAGAGGAGTCACGTATCACGGCTGTGTACACAGCTGCAGAGTCGCGGCTGCTGCTGTCTCTGTGAGGTCTATGGAGAAGTGTAGAGGACAGTGTAATGTGTTCACTGACACTAATGATCAGACCGATGGGCTGTGTTCGTAGGTTTACTCTGCACTCATGTTGCTGCAGCCGTTACTATTTGATGGCTCGCGCGTATGTTAGTATTTGGGGCATTCACAGGCAGTCCGTACAGAAAGTATTGACATGACAGAAAGTGCGGTAGAGTAGTAAAATCCACATGTACGTGTTTGTCCTCATGGTACCGCTGGCTCTTGTGGTCAGATGTGAGACTTTATGAACTGCGTGAAGAGGAGAGACCTGCACACGGCCGTTATGTGTGATGTCAGTGAAAATTACCTTGTGAATGCACTGCCAGATCTCGGATGTCCTCCGCGATTATCACACAATTCAGTCATGTTTAGAAAATCCAACTCAGGTGCGCGCACTCGCGAGAAACAGGAAGAGGGTGAAGGGGGTAAACGCATCCCATTGGTTCGTTGGGGATGAACAAATCCCATTGGTTTATTTTTATCGGTCCGCTCCAAAGTATTATTTGTTAATTTTTGGAGACAATAGGCATCTGGTCAATCTCCCTTACTATTTGAAAACACATAATTACTTGACTACTGTTAGGGTTTAGGGACGTTTTCCCACAATGTTTTAAAAAATGCATCTGGAAAAAATCACTGACTGCATCTTTAAATAATGTTGAATCCTTTGATGCCCCAGGCGTGTGTTTTGGGGACACGGGCAGTGAAATGGAAGCAGACGGCAGTAACGTTATTTACTGCAGAATCGGTTCTATGTTCAATGGTCGGAGCAGCTTCCACCCAGGAGATGTCCGTGAGGGTCAGACAGGTCTGTCCTGATTAGAACGCCCTGGACGTGGTTCTTGACCCTCTGTGTGTTGTAGATACAATCTGTTGTTACAAATTGTGACATATGCTGTTATTCTTTCATTCTACAGCAGGTGCTGCTCCTCTGGTCATCTACTCTGACTGTTATGATAATGCTAACATTTACTCTCGCACTCGGGAGTATTGTCAGTATGGCTATCTCGGGGAAGATGATGCAATGGACCGGGGCCTAAAAATGAGCCTGACTGAGCATGCCCAGCAGGACAATGCTGTGATGGAAAACCTCTTTAGTAACCGGTGCAGCTGCTGTGTTCTCTCTTCCAACGACAAAAGCTGCAATAGCCATTCCCTTCCAGATAAAAACATTCATGGTAAGCCTACTTTACATAGTATGTTATGCGTTTTGATTTACAAAGCAGATTTATCATAGTTACAGTTTGAAAATAATGATCTAAAACTGCTTTAGCCTTTATAGATTATCTCTGTTATGAATTCCTGAGCTGATTCAGCACACTGCTAACATTGCCAGCAGTAAAAATCCTCTATTTGTGAGTTCTCACATATTGAGAGTCCATCTTGTTCTGTTCTCGCTGATCAGTTTGGTCAAACATCAGACCACTGAGGCACCCAGATAGAAGGAAACATTGGGTAGCAATGACCAGGTTAGCACACTGCTAACAAGCCTCTGCACACACTCTCCAATCACACAGTCTTCTGAAATCAAAACCACCAATGAATCCTATTAGAGCCCTGCACTTGGGGCCAATGACCGCATAATTACCTCGGGCCACGCTCGGGCACTTTTATTTATTCTTTTTCAGAGCGGCACATTACATTTACGAACGCACCCACTGAATATAGCTTTTTATCACACTGTAGTATTTGTTGTTCTGTATAGTATTGTCATTAGGGGTGGGAACCTAAGCGTACCTCAAGATACGATACGATACACTATACAAAGCTCACGATAACGATATTATCATAATAACAATATCACGATAACGATATCGCGATAACATTTTTATCACGATATGACGATTATCGATATATTTATTTCATGATAAATGGAATGGAGATGCGTAATGTAGCCATATATTAAGGATTGATACCAATTTAAAAAAATAATTTGTAAAAAAAAAAATGCATATTGATAATAGAATCGCGGGAGAAAGAATCGCGGGAGAAAGAATCGCGATATATCGTCACACCCCTAATTGTCATTGTCGACACATAGCGCTACCTTCAAGTGTGTTGTAGTTTATTGCAGCATCTGGGTATCATACAGCTGCGGCCGTTCACTTCGTAAACACACAGCACTATATACTACGCTAAAACATTGTTACGGGAGGTAAAAAAAAAATAGAAGTTGGGCTACGGGTTTCGGGCTTGAGAATTCAGAAACCGTGTCGGGCCGGGCTGGACTCAGGCCCAGATAATAGGGCCGTGCAGGGCTCCAAATCCTACACCAGTTTTCACACTTACGCAAGCACATGTTTGAACAAATTGAAGACTCTTGAGTCTGGCACACCCCTTTTCCCTGGACAGACACCACCTTAACCAACACATTTTTTAGGGGTAACCCTATGTAGTAGCCCCAAATATTGGGATATCTGAATTGTATCAGTCATTGCAACTGAGATCTGGGCTCACTGGTGACTGGAGTGGCAAGGCCACATAATAGCATAATTCATACACAAGGCAACTCAAAGTGCTGAACAAGACATAATAGCATTAAAATCATAAATAATCACAGTACATTAAAAAGTAAGATAAAAATATAAAATCCCTCAGTCGTATGCACAGCTAAACAAAACTGTCTTTAACCTGGTTTTAAACATTGTCAGAGAGGAGGCCTGTCTCACATTTTCAGGAAGATTGTTCCAGATTTTAGCAGCATGAATCTGAAAAGCAGCCTCTTCATGTTTAGTTCTGACTCTGGGCACTAACAGGACTCAATGATTTCATGTGGCTATTATTATTCAATTTAAGTCTGAATACTGAGTCCAGTATTACCCCTAGATTTCAAACCTTGTTTGAAGGTTTTAGGGAGAGAGATTGTAGGTGACAGATGACGCTCTCTGTTTCTGGGGACCAAAGACAATAATTTCAGTTTTGTCTGTGTTTAGCTGAAGGAAGTTCTTTTGCATCCACTCACTGATCTGTTGGATACAGTGAAGGAGTGAGTCCACTGGTCCATGTTCTCCTGCAGTCAGTGAGACATAGATCTGAGTGTCGTCTGCATAGTTATGATAGGACACTTTGTTTCTACGTATTAACTGACCTAACGGCAGCATGTAGAGATTGAACAGAAGAGGTCCCAGGATCGACCCCTGTGGTACTCCACAGGTTTGTTTAGCGTGTGAGCTGAACTTATGTTTAGTACTAGATGAGTCCTGGTATCCCTTATGTCTTACATTTGTTTTTGATTTGTTTTTTTCATTTCAGATTTTCTTGACTGTCCTCTTTTAAAAGATGGGAAATATCCACCAGTAAAGTCTCCGACAATGCTTTCCCAACTCCCGGTGATGGTGCACCGGCCACCCCTTTTGTGCTCCTCTGTGGATGGCAGTGTCGGGCACAGTGAAAGTACACAGGACCACAGAATGGCTAATAGGACTAATCCCTTAGAGAACCTCACTTCCACATAGACGGAGCTATTCATCTGTCGTTCTCTACCTCCAAAGACTTGTACATTCTGCCAAAGATTCCCTTGACTTGAAAGTTTACATTCCTCTTGACTCTGAAGAGAACGTTTGATGCTGGAAAGACCTCGTGTTGTGCTGGACACTCCATGTGTGCTGGACCCCACTCACACACCTCCAAACCCCCAGCTCTCTGTGAAGAACATTTGAATGTAATGTTTCTCAGCCATATTGGATACTGCCATGGGTGAAACAACAAACAAGCCATGACGATGTTCACATCTTCTTCTGTCATCACTGCAGTGGACTGGCACTTTCTCAGTACGTCAAGCTCAGTAGTAACTTGTAGCTGTAGCGCACGCGACCTAAAAACATGACTTCTTGGGCAGAATCGGACCAATATGACCAGCAGATTTTGATGATGAAAGACGTCGTTTGACCCACTTTCCCACTGCTGCTTTGACTTGGATTCATGCAATGTCACACAAACATGTGGTGTGTGTATGTACAGGAAATCTTATAGTAGCCTCTATATAATGTATATCTGTGGTTGTTTGTTCAAGACCTTACATTATTTTTGCACATAGGACAATCATTTGCTGCCTTCACAGTCATGGATACCTTCAATGCCTTCGCACTCATTACACATTAGATAAAAGCTGATTTTTGCTCTGTTTTAGGCACTTCATCAGCCCGGACCACTTTGTCTTTAAGGTTACTTTCCTTTTTTTTAAACAGACTGTGAAAGTGAGTGTATTACATGAATAGTTTTCTATATGTACTTAACATGTGCAGTACTTAAACATCAGTAACAAATTCCAGTGAGAGAAAAAACCACAGTAGAAGCACTCCTCTTTAGTCGTCGTCCCTTCTAAAATGAAAAGATTCAATTTAAATCTATGCATTTTGACTTAAGCTAAGTTATTTTTTTATACAATAGACTCTGCTTATGTTTGTCTTTAAATTATTCTTGTTATTAATGCACTTCATAAATGTATTGCATAAGGCAATAATGTCTCTGGAATATTCTTCGGTTTTTCACTGAACTGAGTTTTTTTGCTGATTTCTAATTAGCTTTGCATTCCTTAGCGTTCGATTTGAGACACGCCCTGCCTTATTAAAATCATGTAGTAATGTGATGGTGTTCTGAGACTCCACTACATCCAAGACTCTAAGAAATCTCTATCCACAGCTGAGTTTTACATTTGAAAGTGCTTTATCTCGTTTATTGCCTTAGAGCCTCCAGTGTTTACCAAAGTGTAATTATTTTTTGACCATTTCCAATGCTGCTTTTATATGTTGTTTTGTTACTTTGTTTACCTGTTTTTTTTTTTTTTACCTGTACATTGTGTAAATTGTGTCCCTTGAGCATTTTTGTTATGTAAGAATTCCAACATTAAACATAAATTCAAACATTAAACATAAATCTCGACATGTGAACGGTTATTGTAGATTATATACTCACTGTCTTTACCTACATTATTCATTCAAGTTATAGTGCAAGTGTTTGATTCTCTGACCCGTGTTGGCAAATTGAGGTCTTTGTAAAGTTCCCAGAGATGACTGCTGTTAAGAAAAGACATTTTAATGATCTTGCACAATATAGAATCACTCAGATTGTGCAAAAGACAGAAGTGTGCAAACATGTTGAAGGCAATAGCAGTGCTGGTTCTTTCAGTCCTAGTGCATTAGTGACTTGAAGTGACTCATTGTACAGTCTGACAGCGGTGGGGATAAAGGCCCTGCAGTAGCACTTATTGTGATTTAGGGTTGTACCAAAGAATAACAATTTTTTTTTCAGCTGAGCAATAGTATTTGATATTTTTAACACATTCTTGTAATAATCAACAGTCTTTAGGCACATATGCAAAGTATCCATCACTTTAACCTATGTTTTGTTCCTTCTGTTGACTTCAAATTGCTTTGTGTCTATGCTGTCACTTTTTTGAGTATTTAAAAAGAAAATCTCAAAGCATTGTTAATGTCTTCATTATGGAAACATATTCTCAAGAGTAGCCCGAGTTAAAACTTAATTCTTTAAAACAGCTACAAATTGGTTTGTTGACTTTCCGGCAAAATCCTTCGTACCCACTTTTCAGTACGAAGGATTTAGTCATGCAATGTTCCTTTTGTGCTTTGAAACACCAATCTCAATTTAATATCTTTGCACAGCTGGTCCCAAGAGCTGATTTTGTGTCTTTTTATTTAATATGGCCTCTTGTTTAGCAGTTTTTCTCATCTTCTCCCAGACTGAATAGTGAATCCCTTACCCTTCATATTTGAATCTGTAACATGTTTTAGCAATCTCCACATCTTAAATGTTCTATAATTATATATGATGTTTTGCTCATTTTAGATACTTATGAACATATTCACTTTTCTGTTGTTGCTATATTTACAATTTCCACTGCTACATCAAACTTTCCAATCTATCCACATCTGCATCTGTCAAATGCAGCTACTGAAAGATAAGACACATTGATCTGAACATCTCTTAGATAGAGGAGTAACAGGGTGGTACTTGTCGTGCGGCGGTTGTAACAGTAGAGGGCAGTGTTGACTTGCACGCAGATGGAACAGCATCCCCTGCCTACTTCTGGAGCTATTTTCTTATTTGATATACAACAGCGCGTAGACTCAACCATCGAATATGTTTTAGACTCTAGTACTCCAAGTGCTGCTGTGGTCACTTATTTCCGTATACCTCCAATTCCACGCGAGTGTTGATGTAATACCTCCGCGCACCACACGGAGGAGCCTGGTGCGCCTGGGAAGCTGCGTGAGTGCGAAAAGGGGCGTTTCTTTCCCGCGGTATCTCTCTTTCCGAGCTACCAGGTGTGTTCAGACCTGTAGCAGTCAACAGACGCGCTTTACAGATGTCTCCGAAGTGACTATGGATTCCTGACACTCGCGCTGCGTCTACTTCCCGCGCTCCTCCTGCTGCGCTTCAAGAGAGAGAGTGAGAGAGAGAGAGAGGACATCAAACGCTCTTCTGCGGCTATACAGATGCAGCACCAGGACCGCATCACCGCTGTATGACAGAAATATTACCATGCTTTTGACAACTTGACAGCGGAGGAGTCTCTAGCTCAAGTGGATTGGCTGCGCGGTTCGGTCTGCCCCCCTTCCCCATCCAGCCATCCAGCCATCCAGCCAGCAGCAATGGAGAGTTGCTCTTAAATGCATCATCCTCTTTACGCGCTGGAATCCCTTGGAAACATCGCATCCTCCAAAGTGCGCGCGTAAAACCCCAGGGGCTGGCACACCTTAACGGCTCTGGAGCAACTCGCACCACCAACAAAGACATGAAATTCTCCCCGGGTCTGGAGAAGAGAAGCAGAGGCATTATCTGGCTGCCTTGCGTTTAACATACCCCCCAATAAAGGGTAAGGGGGTTACCACGAACTACACGGCTATAGAGTCCAATACACAACATAATTTCAGTATGTCTAGAACATTAAAGAAGAAGAAACACTGGTCCAGTAAAGTGGTGGAGTGCGCAGTGTCGTGGGGGAACCTAGGGGACTTCGGCACCGTGGTGGAGATTCTTGGGGGAGCTGAGGTGGGACAGTTCCCGTACCTGGGTCAGATGAAGCTGGACGTGCTGGTGTGTCACGTCGGGAAGCTGCCCTACTATGGGGACGTGCTGCTGGAGGTGAACGGGACACCGGTGAGTGGACTTACAAACCGAGACACCCTGGCTGTCGTCCGCCACTTCAGAGAGCCAGTGCGCCTCAAGACCGTCAAACCTGGTACGTTGACCCACACACACACAGGTACACACACACACCTGCAAAGTGTCAAACTCGATGCTCAATGTTGATAATTATTTATAGCGTGGACATGTCTTGCAAAGTAAAATAATATGTAATAATAATAATATGCCAGATCTCTTTTTTTGTGCAAATCCATACTGTCTTCTATTATTGGCTCTATACTTCCCCTCTTTCTCAAGACGATAGTAACAGTGATGATGGGAACAATGGCGAGCAGCCCAGTTGGAGCCATTCAAACTAAGTGCACTTAACATGCGTATAGGAATAGGCCTGATTACAGCCTCCATTATTCAGACTCTAATGCTGCTTCTGCCCAGTCGCCACAGGGGCAGAAGTTGGGAGTGGTGGGGGTCCCATTGGTCTTCATTTGCCATTAGGCGCTGGGATAATTGCGTGTAACAACCCCTTCTGATTGGGTCCGTTCCCAAAGTTTTTTGAATCTGGTCTAAGGTTACACACCAGATGTATAGTAGCATCCTCTCCTCTCCAGAAACAGCTGAGCCCTCTCCACCCTGCAGCCTGGATCTCACATCAAAATTGTATGTCAGCCTATTTGTCTTTCATTATCTGTAGATGGCTTTTCACCACATGTCGTATTAGCGCCTGATTGATTGAACTGTCTAAAAAATGACATATTTAGCGTGATTTATGGGTATTTACAGTATGTGTGTTGCGGCTGCACATCAAAGCAGTATGGATGTGTGTGTGTGTGTGTGTGTGTGTTTGATGGTGCTACTCTCCCCTGAGCTCCTAACACTATGCTCTATATGCCCCACTAACCAAGGATGATTAATAAAGGCCATACAACAGCAAGGAAGAAGCAGCAGCAGCAGCAGAAGCAGCAGTAGCAGCAGCAGAGGATGGAGTGGAGCGAATGGTCTCTGTCTTTGGCTGTAGGCTGTATACTCCCACTTCAGCGCCTCCCTGTGCTCTTTTAAAGCTCGTAGGAAAGTAATGGGTCACCAGCGTGGCGGCATTCCTCACCTCATTCTTCTCTCATGGCACTTGTCATACTTGCCGAGGTGGCTTTGGCCTTACCCGCTTGCACATACAGTATGTGTGGGGTTTTTGTTGTTGTTAGTATGGTTCAGTTTGCTCCGTTCTGCTTCAACCTATTACTTAATGAATCATTTTACTTGATTAATCAGGAAAATGGCATCAGACTTTAATTCATTTGAGTTACAAGGATTTCGATGGGAGAATGCGAAAATACAGAAGCAACAAAGCAAATTAATGTATTATTCTGTCTGCATAAGTTTATTCAATAATGATGTGTGTAATGTTAACCTTAAAATCTTGTGATATTGTTGGGTTCAGATGCATAATTGATCATTTTGAGCGCTTTTGATCCACTGGGCACGTCTGGTCACCAACTGTTTCTTGTCGACCACAGCCGTACTGGAATCAAGCCATGAAATCACCAAACAAAGACAAATTAGCTTAAATATATTATGTAAAGAGAGCCTTAAAAAGTCTCATGATTTCTAATGTATTTCTGTGGGAACAATACAATTTTAGTACAAGATCAACACATTTAGAGTGTAATATTAGTCTAAAAATGTGTTCATTTATTAAATAATATTTTTAAAGTGAAAAAATTCCAATGCGTAATACATTCTTCCTTATTATGACCTTCTAAGGTTTGTCTGAGAGCCAGACTCAATAATGAAGGATCCTGACCTCGTGCCTTTGCACATTTCAGACCAATCTCAACCAAAGCACTTTGCAAAACAGTATTGAGCTGCAAGAAATCTACAAAACACTTTTTCTTTTAATATATTCCTCATTGGAAGCATCAAGACATTCATACAGATACGAAAAAAAGGAAGTAGGGAGGAGGAGGGGGGGTCTAATGGATTTATTGCATTATGGGGTGTGTGTGTGCGCAAGTGTGTATGTGTCTAGATCACTGCTATTGCTGGAAACTATAGTATCTATCTAACAGTATGAGGACAGAGTAAATAATAAATGTTTTGATAAAGTATTTGGGCAGTTACATCACTTATTTTTATTTGTCGTTTTTTTTTGTAAGCGTACGTCCAACTCCTTCCTCGTACATTTGCATTCCCACACCGCTCTGTGCTTTTGCTCATGAGCAGGCCGTGCGCAAAAAAAAAAAAGAAAAAGAAATCCCCTTCAGCGCACACATGCAGATGGGCCCTGTTCCTTTGTATATGTCCATGTCCACTCTTTGTGTACAGCGTGTGAAAACCTTATGTTTAATTCACTCTTGACTTCTTACATAATTGAGACGCTGGGGTGGATAAAGCCGCTGCACTCGCCGACGGAGGCCTGGGTGGATCAGCTGGGAACTATAGGACGAGCCATCCACGTACAGCAATGGGCAGATGCTCCCTCGCACGCGCCATGTCTTGAGATTATCTTCTGTATTCTCCTCCCTCCCAAAAAAGAAAAAAATAATAAACATTTTTAGATTGATACAGACTGATTGACTCGTGTGGACAGGTTGGTGTTGACTGTACGCAGTGCGAGAGGTTCAAGAGATCTTTCATTCGTCCCACAGTGGCGAAATTTCAGTGTTGCATCCCTGGCATTGAAGAGTAGGAGCGAGGAGAACACGGCAAAAGAGGAGTGGACGACATTAAAGTGAGGTTTGGTTTCAAATTTGGTGAGGACGGAACAGTAACTCTAAATACTAAATAAAATGTGTAACCTTAGCATAATCAAAAAGCAAGTTTAAAATCTCGAGCTTTAGTGTAATGTACAAGCAAGAATTGAACATAACCTTTCTGACTTTAGCCTAGTAAAAAAGCAAATATAAAATCTCTAGTTTTAGCTCAATAAAGAAGCAGTTATAAGATCTCTAACTCTTACATAATAGACAAGCAAAAATGAAATATAACTTCTCTGACTTTTGCCAAATAAACAAGCAAGAAGTAAAAAAACTAACCCCTTCTGACTTTAGCGTGATAAAAAAGCAAATATAAAATCTCTAATTTTAGCATAATAAAGAAGCAAGAATTACTTATAAGATCTCTGACTTTAGCCGAATATAGTGGATAGTGGACATATGTGGTTCAATATCGCACTTTCTGACAATATTCAAAGTATTATCATTTACAAGCATCAATCACACCAGTGTCTTGCCCAAAGATACAATGGCAGTATGTGCACTGCTTGGAAAACGTATACATACCGCATGAGTTCTCATTCATGACTGGTTTTGACTCCTGCTTTGCGTCTCTTGAAATTCAGATGCTAAGGTTAGGAAAAGGCAAGGATTTTATTTTTTGTATAGCCCAGTTCAGAACACAAGGCAACTCAAAGTGCTTGACAAAAACAAGATAAAAACTACACAAGGCATAAAAATACTCAAAAAAGTGACACTGAAAATGTTCAAACCTGTATTTGAACATTTTCAGTGTAGAAGACTGTCTCACATTTTGAGGAAGATGGTTCTAGCTGAATAAATCTGAAATGCTGCCTCTCCATGTTTAGTCCTGGGCAGCAGCAGACGGTCTGAATAGCATTGAAACACTTTTTTTTATTCTGTCTTGCTATTTTGTTAGTTTTTGTTTTGGGTTAAATTATGTTGCGTGTCTGTGGTCCTTTTTTAAATTAGTTAACTGTGGATGGAGCCTTTTATTGCTAAAATAGGTTTTTGACTGTTTTATCCAGACCATCATCACTTTTGTTCTGTCTTAAAGTAGCAATATTCTATCAATATTTGTCATTAAAAGACCCTAATCTTAAAGGTATTATTAAAACATGCTCTTTTCAAATACTTGTTTAACTGAAAACTGTAGTTCAGCCAAGATTTAGAATTTCAACATTTTTTTTTTTAGAGCCCCTAAAATCTTGTTTTCATTTTGATGTCCTGCCCTCCACCGTTTATCAGAAAGTCTGTGATCCGGGTTGCCAGAACTCATCGCGTCAAGCTAATCTCACTGGTAAAGAAACATGTGGCCGCAGAACTCAAAAAGTTAAAATTCCCAAAACATTAATGACAAAACAAGGAATGTACCAAGGATTTATAGCGGGGTCTTTGTGGAAAATGTGTTGTTTATAGATTTGTTGTTGACAAAACTCTGGTCTATTCAGATATAATGGTCCCAGCTGGATTCGTCTGCATATCTGGCAACCTGAGTCAGGCAGAGTGGGAGAAGTTGCAGTACCACTTTTGCCCAGATTTTTATATACGGCTCCTTTAAGTATACATTAGAGAAAAGACATGCATTAAGTTTACCAAGCGGTTTCATTACAGACAGACCTGTTGATCAGATAATGTTCCACACATCTGTAAGGATAGTGCAATAGAGCCATCATCATCGCTTCTTCAACATTTCATTTGCCCTCTTTTCCTTGGGTCACATCACGAGAACCTTTTGAATAGATGGAAATGCATGTCAAGTTGCCTCATTTTTTGTCTCGCAGATGTCCTTCCTGATGCAACACTATCCACTTTCCATGCCTCGGTAATGGACACCGCTCACACGGGTTATGACTCTGTGGCTCGAGGACCATTTTATGTGTGATTGCTGGAAAAGTAAATGGAGCTACTGGACTGGTTTCTTTTCTGCAGATTGGATTGACCAATGAGGGCTCTTATTTCTGTCACCTCCTGTATCACGTCAAGGTCTTCCAGAGCCTCCATCATTCCTCCACATCACACTTCTCATTTCCCCCTATCTTTGATTAAGCTGGAAGGTACCTCTATTAAAAGCCTGCCGCCTGCTGCTTCGCTCGCTGATCTATTTTTGCTGAAACTCCAACTAACGATCAGAGCGGAAGTGTGATCAAAAGCGCTGTGAATGCCATACCCGAATATCTCCTGCCGTATACATATTTCTGCAGCAGACTTATCTTCAAGCATTTCTCCTGAGCGCATCAGTATTGCCCATGCATCAAAAAACACAATTAATGTAACAGTTTATGTGACACTGAATCTTGCATCCTGTTTTAGCATACGGCCTGCATTGTTGTCGATTAATATATAATAATAGTCTTTGTGAAAGTCTTCTTCCTGCAGCTCTTGGGCGTGCTCAGCATGTGCTCGAGTAGTTACCATAGGAATGGCTCTTACATTCAACACTTGTGAATAAAACACTGGCACTTCTTACATTGATGAAGAAAAAAGGAAGGTTACTTTATTGCGTTTTTTTGTGTGAGTCGATCACGGAACACAAGGAATTCACAAATGTGATTTGAAACAGACAAAGAGGACTACAACATTAACAACAAGAGAAACTGGTGAGAAACCTGGGCGCTGTATAGAAAGTGTCCTGACTTCAGGTGTGGCCTTTCCGCTACTTTAATAGAGTTTGACATGTTTCCAATGTGATAAAAAATACATTAAAAAAAATAATGTTCCCGGTCGGAACAGGGCCTTTCTGGGTGGAGTTTGCATGTCCTCCCCGTGTTTGCGTAGGTTTCCTCCAGGTGCTCCGGTTTCCCCTACCACTAAAAACATGTACAAAAGGTCTGAATGTATTGAGTGAGTGAATGGATGGTAGTGGTTGTGGCTTTGATGCGCCAGTGTGTTCGGCGACTCGCTTCTGTCATCACCGTGTGTGGAGAGAATGGAAAACTATCTGAACAAGTGCTTTGGGTGACCTTGGTCTATAAAATGCGCTATATACACAAACATTACTTACTTACTTACTTACTACATTATAGTTTGGGTATTTAATAGAGTAAATTAAATTATTTACATTGAATCTATCACTTGATTAATGCTCGTACAGTAACATTAAATCGTTCAAAAATAGACTTAGAACCAAGTGAAGCTCCGACATGGGTCAAATTGAAAAAGAAACACTGCAATAAAAATAAGGTTACATTTTGGATTTTGGTTTCAAACTGAATTTTTTTTCCCCCCTGAAACATGAAGGATGTTTTGTGGAATAGAGAATGTGAAGAGATTACTAAATTAATCATAATCAAAATTCAATACATGACTAAATTACTAAAATAATCAACAGCTGCAGCTCTATTGATAGTAATGCTGTGAACACGTCCCACATCAGAATCAGAATCATTTTTTTTGCCACGTAAGTAACAGGAGGTCACAGACTAGGAAATTGCTTTGGCTCAGTGCAACAGTCAAAAAGAGATAATAAAAATAAGAATAAAAAACACATAAGAATAACAAACACATTCAGGTCCAGACTCCACTCTCTCCGATTCCCGTTCTTCTTTTTGTTTCTTTCCCTGCTTGTATCCTGTTGTGTGACGCACTACAGGAAGATGTTTAGGCGAGACTTGATTAATTATACATCCTTACAAAATTTCCCCCTCGCTTTTTATCCACAGGCAAGGGGCGCACAAAAATAAATATTTCCACCACATCGCTTAATCACTTTTGGATAACAATCAGCTAACCAAAACAACACCTTTCCTTTGCCTTTGTCATCCCCTGATCAGGCCAATAGAGAAAGATCACAGCTGACACAAGCCCCATAAGCCCTGTATCAGACTCCAATAGTGAGTGTGGGCTAATCACATTAATGCACCTCTCATACCAGGAAGTGCCTCTCAATGGAATCATCCTCTTGACAGCCGATGCCTTGTCACCACCGAGGATTGCAGGAGGGAAAAAAGAAAAGAAAAATAGAAGTAGTGTGGGAATACATGCAGGCCCGGTCAGATAACTTGACAACTGCTCCTGCCTTGGAAGATGTTCTGGCTGTCAGTCGAGGAGGCCCATGGCGCAGAGAGAGACAGCTTGCGGTGATTTAGGAGGGTTTAATTCACATTCGCCATTAAGACAGGCTTTGTTTTCAGTTCTCGGATCAGCTTCTGTGGACGCATCTTGGCTCCGCTATCGGATTAAACTGCGCTCAGTGTTGGGTACCGACGTGCTGCTGGATGTGTCCATTGGCGAAAAGCGTTGATTTGTGAAACCTCAAAAACCAGGAAATAGATGTGATATAGATGTGAAATACTAGTGATCTTAAACAACGTGACATTAAGCGTGTTAGTGGTAAAACGTTTTCAGACTTGGTTTGCAGAGTCTTCCAGGTTTGAGGGTGGCATTCAGTCTGATGGGGTTTGATTGAGTAGTTGGTTGGATTGATTAATTTATAATATATGAGTTAATTTTCAAAGTAAATAGATAAGGGGAATTAGAAAATATATATATATATGAAAAAAGGCTTGCAATTTCCTCTTCAGATTCAGATTCAGATTCATTTATTTGCCATTTGCAGTAAAACCACATAGGAACAACTGTGCAAGACTACCCCGGTGTGCACCAGAACGAGAAGACGACACACACCAGAGCTCTTAAGCTAATTTTGTTTTTACCACCGATGTCAAAACCTATTAAATACAAGTGGGGGACTGCACATTTTCAAAATGGAGACCAATGATGCAGTGTTTGACTTATAACTAGGTTTGGAAATGCATCCTTGCAATACATACATATATATATTGCACATAATAACAAGGGCTAAATAAATATTTATAAAACGTAATATATATTTTTAACAACATTATTTCTTTTTTTAACCTGCAAACATGGGAATGTTTATCAAATTTAAAATAAACATTTCAATTTGCTTAAAGAATCAATAGAATCATAATACTTGCAGATCAACAATATATTAATCCATTTAGGTTATGTCACTGAAAAAATAATCTACTGCTGGGGAATCACAGAAACCTTATTTTTCATCATTTGAAATCTTGAACTTGCAAAAGCTGAGCAAAAATATGGTAAACAGAATTGCTACATAGTCATAGATACATAATGTGTGAATAAAGGTAATATATTGTGATTGGCCTTCAGGTTTACATATGATATAAGATGTGCTTCTTCTCTGCATGGCCAGATAGTGCTTTGTCATTTACATGGTCAAACCGAGGTCAGCCGATCAGTTCTATCTCATTTCCACTCTTCCTCCATTTCCTCCGTCCTCTTCATCATCTCCATCTCTGAAGCGTTTTGTTGATCTACAGCCTGTTTGTCCTGGTCGACTCTCATCAAGTGTCCCGTCTCAACCCTGGAGGCGTCTGTCAGCCCAAATGCTGCTGTCCCGCTCTGCACTCACCTATCCACACACACACACACACACATACACACACACACACACATACGCACACATACATGCATCCACACTCACAGAAGTACGCACAGACCCAAGGAAATGAATCTAACCAGGCTGCAAAAATGTCTATTACCGCAGTTAATTTAAATGAGACAGTGACCCGGAGTAATTTGATGCAGCTGACTTCTGCAGAGAAATGTGGATGTTGAGAGAGCAGCTCATAAATGTCCATCCGGTCTATCAGAGACGAGATGGGATATTAAGATTCACTGCTTTGGATTCTAAGCCCAAATGACAAAGTTTGAAGTTCTGCAGTTCTTCAAACCAACACTAACATATTGTATTTTTGATAATGGTAACAAATGAACAGACCACTGTGCAGAGAAAGCAAAATGATACATGATTTTAGCTACACAAGTATATGATGTATGATGAGGAACTAAAAAGAGGCTCCCATCTGTTGTGTTTCTCCGTCAGGACTTTGTTGTTGGGGTATATTGGACTGAATCGAGTTGATCAAATGTATTATCACGTTCATTTCACACTGCTCCGAAGGCAATACTGATTTTGAAATTATAGATTGCACATTTATTCCATGCAAAAAGTTGTTGAACTATAAATCTAAAACATATGCACTGAAGAACACTCTAAAACCTATAATAGATTACTGACTTAATCAAAGGTAATATTGAATAGATTGATGAGTGAAATAGCTGCAGCCCCTGTGCACATCTCTGCTGGTTCAGGGGTAAAGCAGTTTCAGCGTGTGACTCGGTCCCCTGCATTTTCTCATTATTCTCACTTTAATCAAATTGGCGCAGCTCTTGTTGCACACTTGAGCAGCACCTGGGACGGCTCCGGCATTCTCAATGAGGACTAGGAAACGTGCGTTTGGAGCTGAGCCCTGAATGTGTCTGATCGCTGCTGCGGCGGCTGTCATTTGGTTTTGGTGACTTTGTTAGTATTTAAGGACATTCTATACAGACATAATATGCATTCAATGTGAGTTATGTGGCTATTCATTAGGGCTACAATTAAATGGAATCAAAATCAAAATTGTTTTTTTAGTTTAGATTAGGGCCTACATCATTCAATACATTTCCTTTGCAAAAGCACATTTTCTTGTTTCTTGCCCACTTAAAATCATGCAGGCCCACTGTTTATGGAAGGCCAGTGTTATTTTTATGTTTTTTTCATTTTATTATCTTATCTTGGGGTTATTGTGAAATATGTATTTCTTTTCTATTATTATAATTGATGTAATTGATGATTTATGACACCATTATGATATGATATATTTGACATTTGATTCAAACACTTCTAATATATTTTTAAGACAATACTTTTATCAGTAAGAGAAAAGAATATGGTTCTCTGTACAGTGGGAAGTGGATCATCTGGACAGCTTGAAAACCTTTCATTACAGAGAAAAACAGTGTGCGAGTACCATATGTACCATATGTACCATATGTACCTTATGCACCTAAGGTACATATATGGTACATAAAGTACCATATGAGTCTTTAAACACTCAAAACTCAGAAACCTGTCATGAAGCGCTTGGCTTTGCTAGTAATGTCTGTAGCTCCCTCTCAAAATCCAACAAATGTCAAGAGAGAAAAGAGCATGATGTGATTGAGGCTTTCTGAAGCGACCAGCTGCTGAACCGTTAGAAATACCAACAACATTGTGCGAAAACATTGTGGAGACTTACAGAAAACATTTGACCTTTGTCATTGCCAACAAAGGGTTTATGCCAAAGTAATGAGATGGACTTTTGTAATTGACTTAATACTTATTTTCTACCATCAGTTGCCAATAAATTCTTTGAAAATCGTCAAAATATACCTGTGACGGTAAGGACGGGCAGCTCTCATCTTTTGAAGTGGGAGGACTTGTACTGTTGGAGGCTGATTAAAAACTGTTCTGTCCCACTGTGTGTAAGTAACATGACGGGTCAGTCCCATCTGAAATCAGAGTTCACTTCACTTTCGTTCATATGACACATGCAGTCGCACAAATAATGATCCGTACGCAAAGTTTGTGACCAACACCAGTCATGTGTGTGTATGGCAGTGTTTTTCAACCACTGTGCCGCGGCACACTAGTGTGCCGTATGATATTGTCTGGTGTGCCGTGAGAAATTCGTCTACTTTGTCTAAAAATAGCTGCATTCGCTGTTGACGAGCGGTGACTTGTTTTGAACTGTGAGTAACCATGTAATACTTTTTCAAATCAGTAGATGGCAGCAGATAGCTAAGTACTTTGAAACTGAAAAATTGGATGCGACCACTGGCTGTAACAGGTCAGCATTGTGGCGAGAAAGGTAAAATTGGATGCGACCAACAAATGTGTGAGGGAGCGAGACAAGAGCTTTGTGGCGAGTGAGAAGTGAAAGTGATAGAGACGTTTTTGAAAATGAATTATGCCGTTTCTGAACAGGATTAACATCCTCCACTCTGCCCCGGGGTAGCTGTGGCCGCGTTGTAGTGGTTTAACTATGAAATGTACAATTTTTGTACAACAGCTCTCGCGAACGCACTTCTGAACTGGGTACCGAGCGCAGACCGTAGTCGAGTGGACAGAACCACAGACATGCGGACCGGACAGAACCATGGACTAGCGTTCAGGACCTCCCGTGTCCCTCATCCAAAACTCCTGAATTTAAAGCTCGGATACCAAAATGTTTCCCATGCAGTAACAATGCATGTTCTTTGTGTGAGTTATTATTTGACTATTTGGGCAGAGAGTGGATTTTCTTAGTTTTTTTCCACACAGTTATGCCACTTTATTCCCAAACTCTTGTTAATTATATCGAGAAATATTAAATAAAGCTTAATTTCAAGGCCTGGACTTAAGCATTTTGATGAGAATAACTGTATATTGTGAATATAGGCTACAGAGTATACTGTATACATTATAAGATAAGATATACTTTATATATCACACAGAGTATGTACAGTATATATTTTTTTACATTAGTACTGTATACATTTTTACATTTTCTCCTGGAGGTGTGCCGCAAGATTTTTTCAGTGAAAAAAGTGTGCCTTGGCTCAAAAAAGGTTGAAAAACACTGGTGTATGGGACCCTCTCAAAAATAAGATACTGCATCTCAACAGTCTTTCCCTCAATACCTCAAATCGACATAGCTGTGACACTGAGATGTACTTAATGAATCTGAAAAATGCAATTAACCAAATAAAGGTAAAGGTGCACTCTAATTATCCCCGTAAGGCAATTCAACCTCTGATACCGCTAAAGCTTCTGTCAGGAGCAGCCGTCTCCAGATGTTGATGCGCGGCTTGGTCAGGACTTCCACAGCTGGAGGATATTACCTTGTGTGCATGTTTTTAGTGGTAGGGGAAACCGGAGCACCTGGAGGAAACCTACGCAGACACAGTTAGAGAATGCAAACTGCACTCAGAAAGACCCTGTTCCCTGGTTTCACATGGTGGACACTGACATCAGGCACGGACAGCGCAGGCGACCTGTCTGAGTTTACAGAGAGGTTTAGAAGATATTTATATACTCTTCACAAGTATCAGGGAGGGGGTTAAAGATTAACGTGGTTTTGGGGAAACCCAGCTCAGCTTCAGCACTTGTCGTCTTCGGCACGTTGCATGTTGATCTATGTCCATGTTTTTGCTCTGGAAAAACCACATTTATTTTCGCAGTTCATCGCTGCTAGACGCGACATGATCTTATTGTGAATTCCTCAGGGTCTGCATTTAGCTCTCAGACATGACCTGAAGTTCTAACACACAAACTACACATGCTTGCAGTAAATAGGGCTGAGGAGTTGGATGTCAACAGCAAAGAGTTTGTAAATAGACCAACCTTTT